TGCAGTGTGCCTTGTCCGTTCTTGCCGTATTTTTTTCGAGGCTTTTCAAGGTGGCCACTTTTTGGAACCTTTGCGACGGTGCTTTGTCCGTTCTTGCCCGATTTAATACCCTGCGGGCTCAGTGTGCTTTGTCCGTTCTTGCCGTATTTTTTTCGAGGCTCTTCAAGGTGGCCACTTTTTGGCACCTTTGCGCGGGTGCTTTGCCCGTTCTTGCCCGATTTAATAACATGCGGGCGCAGTGTGCTTTGTCCGTTCTTGCCGTATTCTTTTCGAGGCTCTTCAATACCATGCGCCTGGGGTGTGCTTTGTCCGGTCTGGCCCTATTTTTTTGGGGCTCTGCAAGGCGGTCACCTTTTCCCACCTCTGCGCGACTTCATGCCATTCATGCCCGATGTAATTCCGTGCGGCTCGGGCAGCTGCAAAAGCAACCGCGCCGAGTTACGGCGCTCCTCGACTGCGTCGGTTGGTCTTCGCTTCGCTTCGCGCGGTTGTGCACTTTTTGGGTATGGGGTCTATGCAACTGCAAAACCGCAGAACCAGTCGCGCCGGTTTGCGTTGCTTCGACTCCTTCGATGCTTTTCGTTTCGGGTGTCGTTGTTGTGCATTTTTGGGTGAGGGGCCTATGTACTTGCAGAGCCGCAAAACCAACCGCACCGGTTTGCGCTGCTCCGACTCCTTCGATGCTTTTCGTTTCGGGTCTCGTTGTTGTGCTTTTTTGGGTGAGGGGTCTATGTACTTGCAGAGCCGCAAAACCAACCGCGCCGGGTTGCGGTGGCGGGTCTGTGCCGGACGCTGGTCGTTCCGTTCGGGAAGTGTCGTCGCTCTCGTATTGACGCGAAACAAAACCACAAAACCCGCCGCCTCGCGCGCCAATATTTTTGCAAAAAAAGCAATGCAGGTTCTACAACACGGGTATTTGATTACGTAAAAATACGTTTTGGTTCGCATATGGCGCAATTGCGCGCAGGACTGTTTCTTTTGACTCAGAATAATGTTATTTCAGGCGGTGCATTGTCGTACATGTACGCACTTGCGATTTTTCATCTGCCGATTGGTAAATATATTTGCGCGCGCGTTTTGTTTTTTACTCTCAAGAATACAGAGGCGCGCGCGTTCTTTTCTGTTTGCTTCTACGTATTGGCAACGCCGTAGCTGGCCTCTTATTGTGCAAAATTCGCGCACAAACGAAGGCCCAAAGCCCTGGAAGCGATCGAGCAACAACAGCACAGGCAGGCACACGCACGCATCTTGCCGAACCTTTGAATTTTATCAGTGAAGTGAAAAAATAAATTACTTGAGTAATATTTGAATAATCGCTGAAATTTAAATCAGCGCCAGCAACAAAATGTAAAAACTGTTGGAGGGTACGAATCTAAACAAATTGTGCGATCATAGTACATACGTCGCGCAAATGAAGCATTTGCAGCCGGTACATAACCATACAAATGGTCAAACCACGCTTTTTGTTACCTTTTTTGTTTATACTTTAGCGGCGTCGTTGTGTTGCCGCGCGCCGTGCGGAATTAATTGCAGCGCCGCGCGTCTTTCGCATCGGCGACCGCGCTAGCTCTTGCCAAATGTCCAAGCGCCTGCACAAAGTGGGCAAACGAATCGACCCAGGCTCGGGCACAACATTGAAAACCGAACCGGCCGGGCAACTTCCAACCGGACAGCCTCCCGCGTGGCGTGCGGGCGGGCAAGCGCGGGGCCGGACGGGCTTTCTGCCACCCGATACTACGCGCACCCGGGTGCAGAACACTGCAAACCGAACCAACCGAGCAGCTTCCTACCGGACAACCTCCGGCGTAACATCCGGACGAAGGAGCGGGGAGCCGGACAGCCCCCATTGCGACCTGGTGCAACACGTTACAAACGTGCGACCTGGTGCAACACGTTACAAACCGAACCACCCGGGCAACCTCCAACCGGACGCACACCCACTCGGACGCTTTTCCTCGCTCCTCCGAATACCATGGCACCGGGGAAAGGGGGCCCGTCGGAAAATCTTACTGCCGGGCGTCGAGTCACCAGGAGAATTTTTTGCTTCCTCGAGAATACTGGTCGAGCGAATACCATTATTGGCGACGGGGGGCCTCTGTGACGAATCTTTCTATTGGGTGCCGGGTTAGATCCACACCACCCGATAGAGCTTTTTCCTACCCTTGAGCCCACCTTCCCCGCCGGAACACCTCCCCCGAACACCCTCCCGTCCCGACGATCTCAATCGGGGGTGGGGAGGCTGTGTGATCTAGAACATATCGCGGCAACCAGAATGAAATCTGAATTTATTGACGATGAAACACATCGAAGGACACATAATATATTTGCACGGAGCATGATTACCACGGGGCCAATGAATGAAGGAAATTCAACATCACCACGGAATCACTATACGAGGAAATCAAAGAACATGGGTCACTTGGATAACCAAGACGAGACCACCACAAAACACTCCAAACCATGAATCTCATCGAGAATACTCGAGAAATTTGGTCATTTTGATAAATTCTTCACCCAGGATAGAATAATAAGCCTTCGAATTATTTTGAACCAACAAACTCACATTATAATGTCGGAACTTATTCGATAAAATTGAATCTCCCTACTTCTACACGGAAATTGCTCGAGAATACTCGGAATATTTAGAATCCCCAACGAATTACACCAAACAATGAGACTGCTCGAGAAAAATACCCGAAAAATTCCATCATACAGATAGACTCTTCACACATACAGACTAAATCAGAATCTGAATTGATATGGGATTGATTCTAATGGGAAATAATATCTGACATTCAATCCAGATCGAATTCTTCCGAAGAATGGACCTGATCGGGAATACTCGAATAATTCTTTCATGCTACTAGATTTTTCATACATCCTGACAGACAAAGATAGAACCGACTGACATCATTGAATTATCATATAACCACTTCATACATTGATCTCTTGAGAAGAATCCACATCACATTTTTCCGAACAATGAACTCGATCGAGAATAATCGAAAAATTCCATATACCTGATCGAGAATATTCGAAAAAATACAGACATCACATCACACATCCAGACTCGGATAGAATCTGAATCGATGGGATTTAATAAATCAATATATTTAAAATCCACATCGAATTTTTCCGAAGAATATTGTTGAACCAGATCGATAATACGCGAAAATTTCTTCCTTCATGTTAATACATTCTTCACACAATCAGGTTAGGATAGAATCTGCATTTATCAAATCCCAGACACCAATCTGATTAAATATCGGTCCAATCGAACACGAGTCTGCTTATCAATCCAATCGAACATCAAACGACGAATTTGTTTGAGCATTTCGATCGGAGAATCTGAATTTAGAATCCACATCGAAATTTTCCGAAGAAAATTGAACCAGAACGAGAATAATCGAAGAATTCCTTCATGTTACTACATTACTCTCACATTCAGGCTAGGATAGAATTTGAATCTGAATCAATACGATTTGATTGCTGCTCGAAATGCCATGCAACTGGAGATTGAACTTCGAATCCATATCGAATGTTATCGGGGGAAGAAGATGAGTGCACTACAATCTCGATAAGAATCCAGGCAATTAAGCGGATAGAGAATTTTCACGGATTTTTTCGTATACCTTTTTGGAATGCCCAGAATGGGATCTGAGTCGATGAGATTTTGTTTTTGAATGAAGTGCCACACAGCTGGGCAACGTGCGGACACAAGGTCGCGTCGGGCTGTCGAGCGAACGCGCGGACGCAAGCTCGCGTCGGGCTGTATGGCTCATTTGTCAATTTCTGTGCCACCTATTCGTATCTCGAAGCAGTAGATTGATTGGTTTCTTGCTTATTTGTTGAAAAATTGTTCACAAGGCTCTTGGCTGAGGGAGCTGGAACGAACGCCGCCAATGAGAAAGCAGAATGTTGAAAAGCGAGAAGGGCCTCGCATTTTGCAGCTCAGGAAAGGGTGCGACTTAGTGTTTTGGAAAGGTCGTTTGAAGCAGCTCTAGAAAAGTCAGCATTGATGCGAAAACTCACAGGTGAAAAGGAAACACAAAAGTTCAGATTGAAAAGCTCACCGAGGGTGAAAAGTTAGCTCACTTGAAGCAGTTTGAACGGTGAATGCTTTTTTGGGTTCAAAAGTCTAAATCACGTAGACTCTACAGGCAAAACGGAAAATTTGTTGTGATGGAAAAAGGACCGCAGTGGCGTTTTCAGAGCAACATACTAGGCAATAGGAAGTAGCAACAAGTTCAGGAAAAAACCAAAATTTCTTTCAAATAGTAGCTCGACAGAGAAAGACTCGCGTATTCTTGTAGATAGGGACGGAAATTCGCATAGCAAAGACATAATTTCACTGGTGCAGAAATTGCATTTGGAAGTTGGAAGTTCATTGTGCCGGGAGAATATGTGAATGCGCATTGTTCTTCGTGAAGAAAATAAATTGTTCCACTTCTCTAGCAACCAACGCACATCGGAGAATAAAACCGCAGCCCATCATGATATGCCATGGAAAACTGCTCATCACAAAGGCATGAAAATACAGTAAAGAGATCGGCAAATAAAGTTCTGGACCACTTTCGCCTGGCGTTGTAGCGTTTAGCGTTCTAGCATGACAAGGCTGTCCAGTGAAGCGTTGATGTACTGCAAGAAATCCTGCACGCCTCTGATTGTGATGAGCTTTTTCATGCAGTAGCGCAGCAATCCAAACCTCCTCCATGTCTTCGGTGCTGAGGTACTCGAAGGCCGTCCTGCCTGCCCGGATCCACTGGAAGAAGTGGTCTTCATCGCTCGAAAGTCCCTTAAATCCGCTCAGCGCGTCATTGATTTTTGCGTCCATCGAGTCGCGGACTGTGCGGCGGATTTGATCCGCGGCCGCACTATCTTTGGCCGCGATCTCGTTGAGCGCTTCGCGAATGAACTGTGAATTACGGACAAGTTTTTTTTTTTTTGAAGGGCATCACAATCTCCACATCAGAAACCTGCAAGGATGACATAATCGCATTTAATCTTTTCTACTGCTTATTTCTGTCTCGGGGGCTGCAAGAAAGCCTTCGTAGAAGGCCGCAGAGTTGAATCTAGGTAAATATTTTGTGTTTGTGGGGGCTAACAAGAAAATATACCTTCACCCAAATGTCGAAAGACTTCAGCTTCTTTCCTTCAGTTTTGATGTTCAAGACTTTTGGGAAGTTCTGCTATCAGGTACAAAAGTGTTCACTTGCCGAGCATTCATTTCTTGAATTTGGTTCTCAGGCAAAAATTTCGCTTGGTGTAAGAAAAGCAACACACATCTCCAAATCAGCCGCAGAGAAAGAGCAGCGGCGGCTGCTAGCTCCTTGCCAACATGGGCGGCCATGCAGAAAGCGCTGCAACAAGCATGACCAGGTCGAGTTAATGCACACAAATTCGCAACGACATGTCCATGACCAAATCTGATCGGGGTTAAGAGACTTTTGCATCTTCTGGTAGCTGGCGGCGGCGTATCAAGGTGAAAAAAGCCCCCCGCCATACGCAAAGATATATCTGTGCTAAGTTAGATTCGGATTGCGTGCACGGGCTTCATCATACAGAGAGAAGCAGAGGGCGCTGTGCAGCGAATTAGCAGCGGCGATGTGATCTGCACTGCTGGTTCGCCTGAATGACAGTCTGTCTCCATCGTGTGCAGCGATATGCCTGGAAACCCATGCTGCGTTACCAAGTTAATAGTTGCACGGTGTGAACTACGTAGCCAAATCTATCTGATAGTATGGCGACTGACTTTTTTCACTTTGATACTGAAAAGCACCGTCGCTCCGGGCGGGCCCGCGGGAGCGCATTTCGTAGTATCCCGGGAAAAAAAGACTCACCATATGCCTCAGCTTGTATGTTGACTGCAAGTGTTTCGCTGGTGTTCTTTTCAGATTGGGGGAATTGCAAAAAAAAGGCCTGCAGTGACGGTTTTCATGCACAAAAAAAAAGCCGCGCAGTTTGTAGAGGGGTACATTTTCACCACATGTACTAGCAATGACTGGCTGCGCCTATATGGTGGGAGTCTTTTTGCACACGATATCGAATGTCCTTCGGGCCATTGCCGAACCAATCCACCGCTATCGAAGAAAAAACGGATCGCTATTCAGTACGCTTCCCAGAGCAAGTCGCACAAAAATACGTTGTGGCCAGGGAAAAACTTCATGACAGGCTACATTCCGGGCCATTTGATTTCACTGTCGTTTTTAAGTTTTCTCCGCAGAAAGATATTGCTCCAGCGAAATCCCTCATGCAAAAGCTGAAAAATGCAAGTAGTGATACTCGCTTTTTCTTCGTACTCATGTAGTCCATGAGCTCGTATGCTGCCCGCAAGCCATGATGCGGCTTCAGAATGATGTACTGTAGAGAATTATCGTGCAAGTCCTGACACGTTTATCAAACTGAAAAGAGTCCCTGTTTGGAAAAGAGACAACAATGATGTCGCAATATGCCAATAAGGCATGATCAGGAGAATTCGAAGCCAGATTCTCTGATGCCGAGATAGATAATAGTTCTGGCAGCTGGAATCGAAATGCAAATGTCTCCTACAATCAGCATGTCACTCCTGGTCGTTTCGATCTTGCAGGAAAAGTCGCATCTAGTTTTCGAACTGGGACTTTTTTCATTTTGGTAAACCACAATAGTAGAAGATGTCAAAAATAGCGAACATGGTGTGCTGGTAGATTCTTTTTTCTTCTTGGAAAATAATAGGGTGAAGTTTAGTAAGCAATACAATGGAATATGAAATGAAAGTTCTCAGAATGCAAGAGTTCTTGCTTGCTGATCGAAAAAGTTCACAGAAAAGAAAAAGTTTCCAAAACGGGCGAGAATGGTCAAAAGTAGCAAAATTGTATTGCTAAATGAATTCCACAAATTAATAAAAGCTTGGCGCTTGTTAATAAACGGGTTCGGTGGGTCCTGGCGAAAAAATGACTGCTTGACGATTCAGGGCTGTTGAATTGTTCGTGTGGATATATACATTGCCGCGGAGAAGATTTCCCCAGGCGGGTTCAACTTGTTTGTCCATAATTTCGCGACAAATTTTTGCGTGGATGCGAACGACGATGAAGCAACGACGAGCTTTGATTTCCAGCTCCTCTCGGTCTCTCATGACAGCATCGTTTTTGCGAATCTCTCAAGGCGTTTTGTTGCTCTCGTCTCCGCGACAGCGAGTAGCGATGACAAGTAAACAAAGCTAGCAGCGACCACTAGCAGCCGGTGCTGAGTCCGGAGATCGTGTTTTTGCAGTTCTGGGGCTTCTTACTCGCTGAGCCTTCGAGTACCTCGGCACACGAACAAAAACGATGAGACGGCACGATGGCGCGCCGCATTCTCTTCCTGTTTTTTAACTGATTGTTTTTGCACTTTGGCTTCAAAATCCCACTTCATCGTGCGGTTGACTAGCACGGTGATGATACAACTTATACGACCCAGCAAAGGGCTTGGAAGAGCTATTGTTGCCGCTCCAATCACTTCGTATTGCGTCCATAGATCTTGCATAACTCCTATACTGCTTGCATATACCGCATCACTAAGATGGATCTTTTTATGTTGTTCATCTTTTACTTTTTCATCACCATCATCACCAGCTTCATCTTCTCCTTTCCCAGGGGTAGACAAAGAGTCATCCTGTGCAAAAAACCTTTTGCTGCCCATAAGTTTTACACAGGGGGCTCAGCTCGGAAATCTTTCCGTGAATTTGCGATAGTCATGACGAGTCGCTCATGGTTGCTTCGCAGGAGAAGCGTTGGCAGCAGCTGTCGGCTGCTGGGTAGTCTCATCTATTACAGAATTCATTATCCCACGATATTCATGATGCCAGATCTCTGTATGCATAAGACCAAGGTCGTGGTCGGTGGCGATGAACAATGCCCAGTAGGCCTTTGCACGGGATAGACCAGTAAGGTCGTTGGCGAATTGGACGTGCACCGCTTCCATTCTGTGGGCGATAGTTTGCCTGCCGACGTTTGTGCAGCCGTCGCCCGCTAGTTTGTTTGTTTGTCGTTTGTAACAAATATGTCTGGGTCGGGAAGACGAGTACAGCGTTTGCTATGCCGGTTTTGTACAGCCCAGAATGAGGTCTGCAACGCCAAGCCTAGAGTCACAGGTTCTGCGAGAACTTTGCAATGCCTACACTCAGCATGAGAAATGCGTCTCAGTGTAGCCAAAAGTTCAAGCTTTCGGGGCTCATGCGTGACAAACTTTTTCGCGTGACTGATAGAGAGCATGACAGGTTTGCACCTTTCCAGACCGAAACATATTTGCAGTGCATATCCAGTAGTACTTGTGTGCAAGGCGCACCACGTCCTCCGGCGTTTTGTACTTTCCGGTTGTTCGACCTCTGTTGTCACAATGAAAAATCAACCCTCCCGTCCGTATGCAAAAAGAAAGGCGCATCAGCAGCTCGGAAGCCTCTCGCAAGGCTTCCTACCTGCATTGGGCTAAGTAGATGTATGCAGTAGAGATTTTTCTGTATTTATTTTTGCATTACAAATAACCACATGACCTGCCTGCCTTTTCTCTGTTGTAATGCAGCGTCAAAGCGATTTGTCGTACAAATCGGAAAGGGGGTCGTCCCTCGCGATACCGGTACTGGCTTCTGCAATACATCTTTCCAGAAAAAAAGTGCACCCGTAGTGCCATCTACAAAACTACTTTCCGTGATGTTTTTCATGGCACGAAACAGCCCGTACCAGCTGATCAGCACGACAAATGGTTTGCGCACGACTTTCGTGCAGATCCGCATCTTTGCATTCTCTGTGTACTAGCATGGCAAAAGCCGCCATTTTTCGGGGATCTGCATCACAGTTTCATTTTTTCTGATATGGGTGTAGGATGTACTTTTCTCTTTGATAACTTTTTCTGTCTCGTGCTTCGTCGCGGTACGTCGTTGACGAAGGCGTCCCAGACCGCTTTTTGTGGAAGCGCCAAGTTGGAAATTTGCAAAATACATCAAAATGTTGATGTGGGGTGCATAGAGTGTGAAGCACAGACTGCCTGTCTGGTCTTGCAAAGACGCAAAGCGAGTTCGATGGTGAGCCTGTTTACGCTCAGAAAAAGAGCTGTGGAAAAGCAAGAAGAGTATGGCAAAAGACCGTTGGCTACCCCGGAGAACATGACAGCTTCAGATTGGAAACTAGTGCCAGTGCTGCACTGCCACCTATTCTTTGCAGGACAAATACCCAGTTTTGGCTTCGATGAGTTCCAACTTGACGCCTTCATATCTGGTCCGTCAACCGTATTTGCGGAGCCAGTAATACTTACTCGGCCAGATGGGGGGCAGGGTCGGCGGGGCGCTGTCCAACGCAACAACCCGCGCGAAAAGAATTCGCCTTGGAACAACTATGGCAATTCCATACGAAGCCCTTTTTTGGTACGCGTTTTTTTTACACTTTTTCCGGGCGGCGTCACACCACTTGACATCCAAGTGGGTGCACGAGGAAGGGGGCACAAGCTTGTGCCGGGGGAAGAGGGACCGGCAACAAGGGCAAAAGCCGTTGCGCGCTTGCAGATTTTGTGTCACGAGTTTCATGGAAGGTTTTTCAAGCTCGTCACCTTCGTGGAGCTCCTAAGCACAGTAGCCGAGCAAAGGTAAAGAGGTGGCTCGCAAGACCTTCGAGAAAGCGAAGCGCAAATCGGTCGCATCGGCGTTGCCCGCTCGAAAAATGGCAAACACATTCACCCAACGAGGAAACGTATGCGAGTCGGCTTTTAGGTTCTGGCTGCGCAATTTTGGTGCGAGCAGCAGCTTAGCGCGCCCCGAAATGCTTGTTGAGTAGGGCAGCCTAGTAAGTATATTATTAGGGCGCCGCCGGACAGGGCTGGACCCTGCCACTTCGGCCGAGTACTACTGGACGCCGGAGTTTCTTCCGGGTTGCCATAGGACTACATCTGGATCGCCGAGTTCCGGGAGCAAAACTATCTGGGCAGTCTTCCGGGAGGCAATCTTCATCGGAACCCTCTGGGTTGCCGTATCATGCGAAAAAAGTGTCTCACTGTTTTAGTTTTGGAGGTCTCGCCGGACAAGGTCGTTTTCTTGCATGACAAAAAGAGTCCGTCTTGCGCCGGTAGGATCAAGCACAATTTTTTTCCATCGCGTGTTCCTCCAGTGATACAGGCACATTTTGCACTGCAGTGGAACAGTTTCTTCTTTCGATAATTCTCGCAGAAGCTGTATTCTTTGCTATCGTAAGGAAACACTCCCCCTTCCCATGTTCAAAGCGCGACTTGTGTTGCTGTATTTGCGAACGCCAATCGACTTCGAACCCAGGTCGCAGGCAATGCGTCGTGGTCGTGCTTCTGAGCAGTTGGACACGGAAAGCCATTCCATTTCAGATAGCACTAGAAACCGCCTTGCTTGGCAAGCCGACTCGCGATCGCAAATCATGTTTGCACAAACCTCGTTTTGAGTGTGGAGAGAGGGAATGTTCCATTTTGATACTTGCCGTAGACTTCGACCGTGTACATGTATTTCGGGTTGATTAAATCTCCGAGCTTATCCTGCGGAAAAACGCACCTATTCCAAACTCGAACTGGCAACTCTGCGCGAAAAAATCGAGTCTGCAGCACGCCTGTGATTCGCTAGCTCGCTTCGTATCAGTTGGAGGGCATGACATGTTTTGCGACACTTGTAGGAAATGCGTTTCATTGGAAACCACTGTCACATGCAAGTGCGAGATATGCAAATGCATGACAACTCTGATGCGGGTGCGTTTCTGCACAAAATAAATCTTCCCCCACTCCGTATCCCGTAGCAGGTACTCGTTCAGGTACACCTTTGTTGGATGGTCAGCTATGGTTGTGTAAGGTAGGAAAGCTAGAAAATTTTTGGCGCGGAACGAGTTCCACTTGGATGTACAAATTAGCAAGACAATGCGTGACTAGTTCCTTTGGCCACAGAGATGAAATTTGTATGTGCTGCTCAGGGGCGCATGCCATTTCCAGGGATCCTAAAGCGAGCCTTTGTATTGCGTGCCGCAGTGCTTTTGCGCGGGTGAGAAGCCAAAAGCCGAATCATGACAGAGCATTTTCATTTTGACGAGCTCCTACGTGACGCGTCCGTAGCAACCGCGGGCTCGGGATCCCCTGGCGGTCCCAGTGGCGGACACTTGTACAACCGCGCGTCCGGCCGCTTGTGCGGAGTCGGATCCCGCTCTCGGTTCCAGGATTTGCGCTTCTCCGCAGGTGGCAGGGTGCAATCGACCCGCACGAGCGTCAGATTTATGGGTTCGCTGTCGGCAGCATCCTGAGTAAAAACGCTCCCACACCAGGATCAAGATGCGAAATCTGCTATACAAATCCACCAGCTTTGGTTGTTTCGCATGACAAGTTTGTCTCCATAGTGTAATCCTGTTTAGCTAGTTGTTCAGAAGCATTACAGATCCAGCATATTGTTCTGATTCGAGCATCACAAATTCCCAAATACGAATAGAAAACGCTTCTCATGGGGCTCTGCATGAGAAACGTTTTTGGCATGCAGATTTGCATTACAACTATGGTGTGGGGACGTTTTTGCATAGGATAGAGAAACAGAGGGGCCTCGAGGTCGTCTAGTCCGATTTCGCAGCTGTATGGGAGTGTCGGTTATCAAATGCACATATATCAGGGTCTGGAAAAACTTGTGATGCGGAAGGGGCGCTCACGAGGACGCCTCAATTCGCAGCCAAGCATGACAAGTTTTTGAGCTGCTAGGATGGTGTTGCCAGAATTCTGTGTTGCTCCACGACAGAAAACTGGGGCGCTTGAGTACGGTGCGTGACAAACGTGAGAGGCATGGTAGCTGAGCATTATAAATTTTGCATTATTTTTTGCAGACCCAGATATAGTTGCAATGCGTATCAGGCTGGAAGGTTTCAAAATGAAAACGATTTATGGTCCATAAAATGCGAGACGCAAGCAGAAGGGTCTGGTTTGGCAAGGTGGGTTGCAGATCTAGGCTAACAGAAGAGCAACCTTTGAACAAACACCGCAAACCAGGTCTGCCCTGCGCCAAACAGCAGAACGAATTTTGTTTGGGTGTTTCCACACCTTGCCGTGTGAATGGTTTCGCTTTTATGGTTATGCGTGACAAGAAAGTATCGACATCTTGGTTTCCATTTTGTCGAATTCCAGCCGGACACTTCCATAAGCGATAGTCGTATCATCTTCAAAACCGCCCCTTCCCGAGAACGAGGAACAATATTCATTGCTTAGGGGAACCAGGTTGAGTTCATGGAACGCGGGAACACCCGGATGGGGCAGGACCAACCTTTACAGTTCGTCATGATTACGCAGCCGTCTATTTATGGACTCCTTCCTGGTCTAAGAACAGTTTCCAGGGTAAGATAGCGAAACTTAGGAAAGATGCTGAGAGGCTAATGTAAATGTTTCGCATGCAAGACAAACGCGTTTTTATGTGGAACGGATAGAGCGAATATCATCTTCGGGAGCTCTGGGGGCAGGGTGATTTTCAGTTTGATACCTCCGGATATTTCTTCAGCACGCGGAACTCCGTATCCCATCGAAAAAGGCTAGGATGCCACCTCTGCAAAAATGCAAAAAGAATCGGAGACGTCGAGAACAGGTTTTTTTTTTCCGATACTGAGGGACTCAGTCCGCATGACAGATCGCTTTCATTTTTGCATTTCTCGAAGATGACACACTAAGGTAAGGATCTTCCATGTTGATACTTGTCGGGGGGGAAGTTGAGTTCTCGGTTCGACAGGAGCTGGGCCTTGAAGTCCCGGACGGTTTGGACATTGTGGGTCGGTAAAAATTCGTGCGTGCGTATCCTGAGGAAGCAAAATCTTTCCCACCCTGCAGGGGGTGATGACATTGGTCATTCTTTCCTCAGCTGATAGACGAGCTGGATTTATTGCCCAGCTTGTCTTCTAGATCGGGAGCTACTATGCTTCTCTCCCCAGCCTGTATTGCTGCAAAACAATGACCCACCGACCACGACGTGTCGTCTTCAGCGACGCGTCGCGGTGGGCGGGCATGCAAACACCCATGACAAGTCTCGGGTACCTAGGAAGGAGTTTTTTCCACAGGATAGTCAGGTAAACGCCGGATGGCAGCTTTTTGCGGTAGGGGTAGAAGTCGTCAGCTTGTGCCCACATTCCGACGACGGGCTTGCCGGCTGTCGCCATGGTGGTCACGAGCTGCAGATTTTCCTTCCCGCTGGTCCATTTTATCCTTCAGAAAAATCATGCCAATCACCCCATGCAAGCGCTTTCTTTGTGTACGCAAATCGAGTGGTAGTATTAGGAACGCAAAAAGCGACGCTTCCAAACTGATTTCTTCCGAGTGATTTGTGTGAGGCTTAAGCTCGCTTTTCCATTCCGGCATGACAATGCGACAGCTGTTCGCGCCTGCTCACAAATCAGTATGGTTTGCAGATTTTGTTTGAACTTGGGGCGGAAGTTTTTTTCACGTGGATTCGTTTCGTTCCTGTTCGTTTAGTTCCACCCTTTCGGGCCCCGCCTGCTCTCCGTACAGCTTACGCAACGGGCTCCGCCGTGTGCTCGAACGAGAAGACAAATGAGACAACGACGAACATCATTTTGCGTCAAGGTACTGCGTGCGGTCTTCTATTTTTCTCACACACAGAAGTAGAGCGCCCAGAACTGCAAACTTTGCTCTCGAGCGGTGTGTCTAGATGAGGTAAACGGATCGCGTCGAAGCAGCTGGCGGAATGGTCAGTGTGGTCCGCAAGCTCATAACTTTCTCTCGGTCGTGACTTACATGAAATGTGGACGCCAAAGAATGAAATAGAGTAGCCAGGAAACGTTGGATCTGTAGGAGAATTCAATTGGCGGGAGATCCACGAGGTTTTAGAAGACGACGACGCTCTGACAACCGGCACGAACCCGAGCCGGTTTTTTAGCACACAGTCAAGCGCGCTTGCTTCGTTTGTTACGCCAGGCTACAGGATTTTGGGTTTTTTTTGTTCAACTAGCAACGCAAAAAAATATTTCCTGGGGTTGTTCCTACTTCATGTAAAACGAATGTTTCTTTACCTTTCGGCGCAAAAGAACGTGCACCAGTGTCAAGTTGTATCTTTTGTAAGACCGGTCGTTGCTCACATTTGCTCTTAGTATTGTAAAAAAATATGTTGCGCTCGTGTAAATCTTGAATGTGCTGCGCCCTGGCACCAAAGATGAAAAGACGATTACCGCATTAGCTTCTTCAAACAGCGTTTTTTGGGTTCTGTTGGTTGATGGTCGTAGAAAAAGCCTTGAGTCTGTTGTTGGTGGAGACGTAATCGTCACCAGCCACAGGTTTATAGACTAAGAATAAGTCTGAAATTTAGTGCAATGCTGTGACGCGGATGAAGATCATGCAACGCAGCTACAGCTGTGCATCGGGTATGACTCGTCTGCCAAGCATTGACGTTCCTACGGAAGAAGAATGCGCTTTGCTGCTAGTGTGTCCGGGCACCAGCTCACCGCTATAGAGTAGCAGGAACCAGTTTGCCGCATTTCCACTCCATCTGCTGCTCTTTCTTTTCCTTCTTGATGTCGTCCGCCCATTTTTGCCGGAACTGCGCCAGGGTGCTGGGGTCCTCGCAACTGTAAGCAAAACTGATCAGCCAAAAAAAGAAATCGCCCTGATACAGATCAAAACTGTTCCCGCCCCTTTGCATATCAATGAAGACGAGAAGAGGACCAGTAAAAGCCTCGAAGGAATTCAGATTTGGATACAGCTTCGGGGTTCTGCAGATTTTTAATCAAAACCGCAGAGCTTCCACTGCGGAGCGCATGCAACTGGGGAGCGCATGCAATTTTTAGCCAAGACATGCAGTCGGGTACGTAGCCCGCGCATGACATAAAAGGAGCGCAGGCGGGAGCGTTTTAGTCGATAAAGATCTTCGACCGGAATGTCGTCGGACGGGTCGCCACTACGCGACGCGGGGACCAGGCGAAACTCGTCCAGCTGGATGCTGCTTGCCCGCAGCGCGTTATCGATCGCAGCAAGCTCCGCGCCGTAAACCGTGGCAAACGCCACGGGGGACGCGGAGTGCACGACGATACGCACTGCGGTAAGCAGGATTTTGGCAATATGGAAAGGCAAACATGCCCGCCCGGGCGTGCTGCGGCGATGCCCAGAAACAACAGCGGGGCGCATGGAAACTCCGCACCGGACCGGGATGCTCCGGCAAGGAAATTAGCGAGGCCGAGGCTGACGCCTACCAGATACCGAGAAACGGCGACCCCGGGCCGGGATCGTTGTGGCGCACGCAGCGGGGCCCTCTGGCCACGCCTCTTACAACACCGAGGCAGCACGAAGCCCGCCCAAACCCGTGCGCCACGGAGGTCGCCAACGGAGGGGCTGCCCCCTGGAGGGCTGTCCTCGCGTCCACCGCGCTTACTATGCGCCACCTTTCCACGAAGGTCGCCCAAAACCGTCGCCCAGAAGCTGGGAAAAATTTCGCCACCTTGGCGACCCCAAGCCGGGACCATTTTGGCCACCCTCGGGGCTCATACCTTGGGGGCTGGCCTCGCGTCCGACGAACTAGGTGCCACGAAGGTCGCCCAAAACCGTCGCCCAGAAGCAGGGAAAAACTTCGCCACCTTGGCGACCCCAAGCCGGGACCATTTTGACCACCCTCTGGACTCATACCCTGGGGGCTGGCCTCGCGTCCGCCGAACTATGCGCCACGAAGGTCGCCCAAAACCGTCGCCCAGAAGCTGGAAAAAATTTCGCCACCTTGGCGACCCCAAGCCGGGGCCATTTTGGCCACCCTCTGGCCTCATACCTTGGGGGCTGGCCTCGCGTCCGACGAACTATGCGCCACGAAGGTCGCCCAAAACCGTCGCCCAGAAGCTGGGAAAAATTTCGCCACCTTG